CTGGAATAATTAATTTTATTTTAAAGATTTATCTACCAATTAATATAGTTTTAATAACATATACTTTTTGTCAGATCAAACAACACACATATACAAACAACATATATACAAATCAATAAAATGTCTTGGTATTCACATTCAAAATATGATTATTTATCAGATAAAAACTCAGAATACAATAGCGATTTTGGGGATGATTTGCCAAATTTAACAATCGATAAGCAACAAATTTTGCGAAAATATAAATATCTTAATCGCCCTAATTGGCCCAGAAAAGAATGTCTTTATGCTTCGAAAAATATTCAGCCTGAAGGATGGATTATCTGGCAAGAATACCCTCATTGCTATAGATATTTCCATAACTTATCTAAGTTTGAAATATGGCATGAATCGATACCCGAAAACCAGCGTACATTTCATGAAGTTATTTGAACTGGGCAATCACAAAAAATCAAGATTGATGTGGATGGCGAATTAGAAAAATTTGCATCATATCCCGATCCTTTAGATCGAATAAAAATATCTCTTGGACAGAAATCGTTTGATGGTTTCATCGCTAATACATATCTTCATTCATAGCAGAAGTTAACTGAAGTTACACATAAAAAAGGCGAGATTTATTTATATATTAAAAATACTCTTCGAATTGCTATAAAAGAAATAACTGGATTAAATCTTTCAAAAGATAATCTTCTTGTAGCCGATTCCTCAAATGAGTCTAAGTGGAGTAAACATTTGATATTACCTAGATATTTCGTTCGTGGTGCATCCAAAGCTCAAAAATTTACATCGCGAATCTTAGAACTTCTTCCAGAAAGAATGCATCCTTTTATTGATGAAAAAGTAAACAAAGATCTCCATTGCTTTCGACTAGCGGGAAGTCATAAAGCCAAAGACTCTTCACGCATTAAGTGCATTTGTTCAAATCATACTTGGAGAGAGTCACTTATCACTCATATTGAGAAAGATTCCGCAGAACTCTGGCTATATGAATGGAAAGAAGAAAAGAAAAAACCGAAAAATGAGTCTGTTTTACATGAGCAGAGTGATACTGCAATAAAAATAGTAGAAGAACAATTTCCTTTTCTGTCTTATCGAAATTCTAGTAATGGCTTTGATACTTTTGATAGAACTCTGCCTACAACATGTTTGATCTGTGAAAAAGAGCACATGAGAGAAGGTATGTATAGTAGATGGCGTGGATCATATTATTTTCTTTATTGTTTTAGGCAAAAAAAAGGTGAATCTGGTATCGAAGTCATTAGAGCAGACAATGATAGCAGGACCAGTAAGAAGAAAAAAGTTATTCCACGTTTAGATAGATTAAGATCTCAGCTTCAGCATATATTACAATCTCATTCACAAAATAACTTTACTGCTATTGGAAAAAA